TTTTTTTTTCAGGCAGGAGACAGTCGCGGCGAGCGGAGGATCGCGAGGATGGGACGCGTAGCTCGTCGAGAGAGGTGCTCGCGTTCGCGGATGTCAAAGAGACCCGGTAAAGTGGAAAGTGAAGGTAATACCCCAGTGCACGTTGGCAATGACGTTGCGCTCACGACGCGCGTTCTTTCGTTCTCTCAGGTGCAACCATTTCCTTCTATCTCGTCCGGACGCACGCACACGTGCGGTGACACGTGTGTGCGCTCTCTCGCCCACCAGCGGATACGCCATATGCGCGTGGGACAGATCTTATGTAAACGCGAGTGAAACCGCCGACGTATACCGAAATTTATCAGTGTCGCTTCCCTCGCTTCCCTCCGGATCTCTGCGGTTTCGTTTCACCGCAGACTGACTGTAAAAAAATTTTGTTCGCCAGGTTCACGAGGGACTTTTTAGAGAGCGAAGGATCTTCTAGATGATCGAAGGATCAATTAATCGCGTCTGACTGTCTAGTTTTCAATTAGACGAGTATCATATATATACAGCACGTTTATTTCTGTGATAAAGTACATACAAATATAGAATATGCGATGTAAGAGCAATTATTAGTATGCAATTATTTATTGGAGCGTTACAATTACATACTTCCTTGCTCGCACGTAACGCTATCGATCAAAATAACGATCAAAATAATGGCGAAGAGGAATATAAAAAGAGAATCGAGGAGAGGATACACAAGTGGAGAATGCTTCGCGGGAGAAGGATCGGTCCAGAGGGAGAAAAAAAAGACAAAATTAAATGACGACCTGCTAGAACTGGTCTGTCTTGGGAACAGCAAGAGGCCAGACTGTCGCATCAGTGCACGCTTTAGGAATTCAATGTTTGACGATCGTCCTGGAATTTCGTAATTTTTGGAAAGTAAATTTAAGTCTTATCCATCTCGATAATCGGTTACCGTGGACTGCAACGGTACGATACACCGAGTATTGCGGGTGAGCGGCAAAAAGGAACTCGGTAATTATAGAATCGATAAAAATTCGATCTCGATATTTCGCAGTTTCCAGGAAACAAAATAGAAGGATCACCATTGCGATTTTTGTAGAGAGAGAAAAAGAGAGAGAGTTCTATCTGCGGAACCAGAGAGGAAGACCACCGAGGGAAGTCTCGCGTGAATTGGGCGAGAATTTTAAACGATCTCTCCTACTCTCTGACTCTCCCCGCGCGGACGCGTACACGCTGATCTTTCAGGAAACAGCTCTAGGAACGTTGACGGAGAGAAAGGTGGGCTTCGACGTAGCGAAAATAGCGAGGGGCGCGCCTACCTGCGACGGTCAAGACGGCGCAGAGCAGCGCCGCGTCCTGGAGCCTCATCGTTCCGCGCGCGCGGAATTCTCTCGGTAGTCTCAGGGTGACGGTCGCGTGTCCGAATTCCCTTTCGCGTGCCTCTCGTTTTCAGCTCGTGCGATCACCGCGGCCACGGCGACGTATCATCAGAGCCGACCGAACGAGCACGACCGATCCGCTGAGCCGCGACACTGCCGGGGGTAGACTGCCGTCGCCGTCGCCGTCGCGCGGCAACTTCTCGGGAACTGGCCGGCTCAGGAACCACCGTTCTCAGCTCATTGGCTGACCACTTTCTACCGGCGCGGCGTGGCGCGGCGCAGCGGCCCGCGCCGCCGTCGTCGGGAGTAAACCGACGAGAAAAGCTGTCTCTCATATCGGACACGACACGCCGCAGCCGTGAGATTCACGGCTCGCTCGCGGGCGAAGTTTGCCCTCGAGCCTTATTCTCCGCTCGACCGCTCGTTTCGCTTTCAAACAGGGACGGATCGGCGCCGCGGCCGCCGGGGAGTCGCAGAGTCGGACGACGTGCACGAACATTATATATAATTAATTAAGCTAATCTGATAATATATCTAGAATTGGAACTGTCGAACGGAATGTTAGACTTTTATGCACAATCGTTTTCACGCAAGCTAGAAACGCAATTGTCGATTGCAACATTTTTATTTAATATTTTATATAGAGACTTTGTCGGAATTCGATATGTATATAGCAACATCTCCGCGTAACGCGCGACAATATTTGTTAAATACAAATGCGCCCACTAAATTGGCACATTCTCAATTAGCTCCTAGCGAACAATTATACTATTATATAGACATTATAGAAATATATAGTTAATCTCCTCGTCGAATTAAGCCGTTTGGAAGCTCGTCGTTATTAATCCTGTAGGATTCAGGATCAGATATGGCATATCCGCCTCTTCTCTAGGATTTTAACGGCAGCGCCGCAGAGAGAGCCCGCTTCTTAACGAGGCGATTTAGGAACCGGTCAGAGAGGAGTCTCGCGTGCGCGGCGAGGGCGGCTCACAACTCGATTTTAGCAATCTGCGGTCCCTTTTTACGTTTTTCTTTCTTCGCAGGCTTCTTCTTCTTCACGGTGTCCTCGCGCTGGCCGGCGTGGGCGGCGCTCCTGTACGGATTAAAATAGTCCGGGTCGCGTTCCGTAATGTTCAGCTCCTGCTCGACCAGGCGAAACATCGTGATGGTCGATTTGTTCAGCAAATGCCGCGTCCGATTGGCGAAATTCAGGGACCAATGTATCGTGGAGTTCCATCCCGACTGCGTCCTCAGTATCCTGTGAGTGATGTCCGGCAGGTGCAAGATGATGTCTCCGAAAAGCGCGGTGTTCTCCAGGATGCTGGACAACGCTGCGACAAATGTAGTAAGAGAAGTCCGTTTTAAATCATTATTTCTTACGAAAATTGCTGTTATATCTTCCGTCATAGTCTCTAATTGATTTTAAATAATTTCAGATATACGGTAACTCAAATAATTAGCTCGCGGTGAGCAAAGTTTTAACCAGTTTTTTTTTTATAAATTCGAGCAGAATATTGCGGCAGAGATCACCTTATTATTCCGTCAGGCACAATCAGGCAGATTGCTGGCAAAAACCGAGCAGAGTCTGTTATTTTGCAATCATTTGAATGGTTGCGAAACGGCAGACTCCGCGCTCGGTTCCTGCGCTCAGTCCGCCACATCACATTCCGTTATATTTCTATCGACATTCCACCGGACGATTCGTGGCGATTTTGTGGCGGAACAGTTTGCGAAATCTGTTTTCGACGAACTCGGCTATCCGAATGAATAATCGTATATACCGTCTTTGACGTCGGTATCCACGGGGAAAGAACTGTTGTGCGGTAGGAAACCGGCCTTCTCGATGACGCTCTTGCTCGATTCGACGACCTCCACTATCTTCTCAGTCAGCACCGTAATCATTTTGTACAGACGCTCGTAATTGTCCATCTTCAGGAGAGTTTGCACAGCCTCTATGTGGTCCTTTCGCCGTTGAGCAAATAGTTTCTTAACTGTTGCAAAAACAGTCGAGTGGCAATGAGGCAACAAGACGAAATAACGAATTAAGTATAATACAATAAAAATTAAGATAAAACACATATGGGTGAAATATTTAAGGTAAAGAATGTAAATATAAAAAATACTTAAAGCAAATGATGTAAATATAAAAAATACTTAAAATATTCCAGGTAAAAATCTCCATTTATTTTAACAAGTTGCGAAAGCGCGCCGATAATTCTATTTTCCTCGGCTTTTTTCTTTTTTTTTTTTTAAACTGCGCATTTGAAACAACGTGCAAAGCTACCGTTTTAGAAGAAAGAAGAAGATGCGGAAAGCGCAATTAACGTTAAATACCGGAGCTAATCGAACGCAAAGGAAAAAGAAGAAAAAAGAGTAAAGTTCGACGTACACAGCTCCTCGTCGAGCTTCGATTTGGATTCCCCGCCCTTTTGCGGTTCGCTCGTGACTGGCTCGTCGACTTCCCGCTGCGCATGCGCGAGCAGCACCGTCAACACCGACGCAGCAGCCACGACGGCGACGTGGAGGAAAACGCGCGACGACGGCCGAGACGTTCGCGACGGGCGGTGCATCGCGGAGAAATTCACCTGGCGACCGGCAACGTCGCCGTACGGCGTTCACCCTCGCCCGGGTGGTGCCGTCGGGAGGGTGTCCGCGCGATACCGATCGTTGTATACGTCATTCGAACGCGGCCGCACCGCAGTGTTCCGCCACACACCGGCGACACTGACGCCACCTGCCGGCACCGGGGATCCCTGCTGACTCGTCGTCCGTCGTCCCCGTCGAGCCGTCATCCTGGGATCATCGGGAGTCGTCGGCGGTGTCATATATATAATCTCTTGCCGGATCTAGAACGCGATAGATTCGGATAGATGCGGTATCTTCACGGTTTCACGTCGCTGCCGATAACGTGCCGCAGATCGGCGGCGAGTTGAGCACGACGCGTGCGTGGTGCATAATAACATACATACGTATACCGTGTGTGTAAACGTGTCGCGCGACGGACGACGGATTCCTCGTTGATTGATATGCCCGGAGTGCACCGCACGCGGGATCGTCGACGTTACGCTTCCTCCTAGCTCCCACTGACGATTCGAATCTGCAGCGAATATGGCGACGATGGACGGCGACACGAAGCTCGATGTAAATATCGTTCGCTGTGATTTATTAAATTGCCATCGTGTCCGTTCTCCGAGATTCGCCGCGGCGATTTCGTAGACACATTTCCGTTCGGCATGCGTTGCGTTTGACGTTTTTGACATTTTGCGTTACGTTCGACAGATGTACGACGACGTCACGTACGCGGTGGACGCTCAGCACGTTGAGGGTGAGATGACAGTGGGTTCGAAGCAGCAGCGGCCAACTTTGGGAGAACCGGAATTCAACACGTTAGACGAGCCCATCAAAGATACAATTGTACGTGTCTCGTGTCTGTTTATCACTTCTGCTCCAAAGTTATAAAGTTTAAAACACAGTAATATATGGAGTCTGACAGTGGAAAACTTTTAGACCGTTTCTTTTAAAGGAACAACGAGGTCTAAAGTGATAAGTAAGATGTGGAAATAATATCATAATATTGCCATTTATTTATACTGAATTACGTTTTAAAAGTAACATTTTATAAACGAGCACTTCTGCAGTGCCAACTCCTTGAAGTTCCTAGGGATCATATCGCAGTCAAAATGATGTCATATTGACTGTGATATATTTCTTTCATGAAAATTTCTGATTACTTTATTAAATAAATTTTAATTTAATTAAATTTGCTGCTATGAATAAAGTTTTGACGAAAAAGTGTTTAAAAACAAAGCCTCAAAATATTCTTTGAAAAATAACATGTAGAAGCCTACGTTTTAATAGTAACATTTTATAAACGAGCACTTCTGCAGTAATAACTCCTTGAAGTTCCCAAGAATCATATCGCAATCAAAATGATGTCATATTGACTGCGATATATTTCTTTCACGAAAGTTTTTGATTACTTTATTAAATAAATTTTAATTTAATTGAATTTGCTGCTATGAATAAGGTTTTAACGAAAAGGTGTTTAAAAACAAAGCCTCAAAATATTCTTTGAAAAATAACATATAGAAGCCTGAAAATTTGTCAGAATGCGCTACAGATACTCTGTACATATCTCTGACTTTTATTACATATGTGCGTTTTTCTATCTGATGCAGTTGAGGGACGTCCGAGCGGTAGGCAAGAAGTTTTTCCATGTTTTATATCCTAAAGAGAAGAAAAGTCTACTGAAAGAATGTGAGTATGACTGACAAAACTCACAAAACTCTCTTATTATTAAGAAGGCAGCAGATTATTATATACTTGTATATTTCAGGGGATCTATGGGGACCATTAATATTGTGTACTTTTATGGCGATGTAAGATATATTTATACATAGATATTACGCATACGTATGAAAATGATTTTATATGGCGCACATTATAATTTATAATTGTTTCACTCAGGATATTGCAAGGTTCCACTGATGCAGCGGATAACTCGAACGATGGAGGACCTGAATTTGCAGAAGTGTTTGTCATCGTGTGGATTGGATCTATGGTTGTTACGTTGAATTCGAAACTGTTGGGTGGAAATATGTAAGTAAATGAACTGCGAATTCTGACTTTATCAATTAATTAGTTTACGATTATTGAAATGTATGACACAAAAATGTTCAAATTTTACAGATCTTTCTTCCAAAGCGTTTGCGTCCTAGGGTATTGCCTATTACCGACTGCCATCGCGTTAATTCTATGCAGAATTATACTGATAGTACAGCAAAGCACTTTCCTATTTACCCTTAGATTTGTGATCAGCATGATTGGATTTTTGTGGGCAACATATGGTAAGCGTCAATTATTCTAGTAAGATTATTTTTTCGTGACTTTTTTCGAATTTTATCTAAAAGAAATGTATTGCTACATCAAAGTTTATATTAATATTTTAGCGTCTATGGCATTCCTGGGCGACAGTCAACCCGCAGGGAGGAAAGCATTAGCAGTATATCCAATTTTTCTGTTTTACTTCGTCATATCATGGCTAGTTATATCCCACACCACATAAAATGCAGCACAAAAATTAATCTGTTACAAGACTGCGCATTGCTCCGACCTTCCGTGTCAAGTTTCGGAGGACGATGGAAAAAAAACCGGGAGGAGATGCAATGCTTTTTCGTACATGGTATTTTCCAAGTCCTGCATTTGGACATATTCCAATATCGTGCTTTTGTGAATAATACACAAGTATGGTAGGCAAATATTTATGATCTTAGATTCTCATTCGATACGTCAATTATGAGACTTGTAATTATATTTAATCTCACTGTGAATGCACATTACGATTGAGACAAATATCTTGTCGATATATAATAATATAAAACTATATTCTTTCTGCATGAATGTGAAAAATTGATCAGATTGGTATATATTTGTACAGATATGAAAAAAAATGATGTAGTACGAGCGATAATTACTTGTAATTAATTCTAGACTGTTGAATCTGGATATTTCCTGTACTTCCATAAATTTTAACGATTTTTTTTACCAGATTCCGATTTTAATTATAATTTAATTAAATTCAGACAGTGCAGAAGTTCGATGTATAATTTATATCTTTTTGTATATTATGTACATAGAATTACGTTTAAACCATATGTTACAATAAAATAATACAGCATAGAATATAAGAATCTCTCGTAGTTTATTTCACATGTGTGAGAAGTATCTTTGCAGTTTCTGCAAAAGAGTCTTGCTGTCGTAATGTCCGGGATACGCGCTCAACGACTTTTGTACCGCGATGTAACTTGTCTGCAGGTCTCCAACCTGTATGCATGCATCGAACAAAGTCTGTAATACTGTAATTCGGCGTACATCGAGGTAGATTAGGAACAGTTTACCTCGTAAGCTAAATGCGCACTGTTGAAGTGCGCCTCGTACACGTAGCTAGCGATGTTAGCTGCTGCATGGAAATATGTTCTCGCCGCGGTAACGTTCCCGTTGCGCATTTCTATCACGCCGAGATTGTTATAAGCCAAAGCATGCCTATTATCGCTGGCGACGGCTAGCCTTAAACACTCCTCGGCCATTATCAGATCGCCCAGCGTCTGCAATCCCATGCATTCTGTGTAACTTAATTATTTTAAAACAATGAAACGAGTCATACGTACAATAGCTATGTGAGAAATGTTGTACCACACGTCGGCCGCGTTCTCGTCGGTTGCAAGATTTAATGCTCTTTCGAAGCATGATATAGTATGATCGTATTGCTGAGCGTAGAAACAACAAAGCCCGAGGTTGTTGAACAACTCGGCGTTATGTACGCCCATTTGCAAGAGGCGCCTGGAACGTATATTTAGAATCGAAATTTAGTATTGTTACGTATAAATGAAACGCTGGAGATACAAATGGATCTGATCACACGGTAAATTAAAAAAATCATTGTAAAAGTAAAAAGAGTTCATAGAATCTACTTGTATTTCCGATGTATTTCGTACATATTGCATTTTATATTATACGTGTACCTGTAATAACGCAAAGCTAGCTCCGGTTGATCATTGTAAAAATGATGCATGCCTATACTGGCGATCGCCTCGGTGTGAGAAGCGTCCTCCTGCGCAATTAACTTGTAATATTTCATGGACATCGTCGCGTTGTTCAGGCTCTCGAATATCCGGCCCATCTCCGTGAGAATTGTAACGTCGTTCGCGAAGAACTCGAGGCCCTTCTTGCACGTGTCCAGCGCGGCCACTGGCTGATCGAGCCTGATGTAGACTCTGATCAGCCGCAAAACCGTCTCGACGTTCCTGTGATCCTTCAACGCCGACTTGAATTGCTGCTCCGCGTCTCTTACTAATCCCAACGTGTAATAACACTTTCCGAGTTGAACTTTCCACCACCAATCTTTATACTGACAGACCTGCGTCGCCTGAACGGCCAAGTCCAGCGCCTGTGATATATTCACACACAACAGCTCTTATTTAGGATATTATTATAATATACTAAAATAATATCTGTCAATATAATGTCCGCGACTCACGTATCTCGCATCATGTTCGTGGTAATATATATATTCGAACAATGGTTTCGCTATGCTTTGCTGATTAGCGTATTTAGTTATGTTTAATCGCGACAGTTGGATAAAAGGCCCACCGGGCTCCGTCAGCATCGACGCTGTGCCAAGCCTTGGAGGACGAAGATCTCATATTTAATCCCTTCTTGATATTAAGTAGAAACATAAGTCACTCATTATACCTAACGCTGCGTCCTGAGCTTGCTGTAATTGGCCTGGCAGTCATTGCTGTTCTTGGTGTTCGCAATGCCTGTTCAATAGACTGGGACATCGCTGCCTGAGTGGCAGGTCGTACTACCCCGGTAACGGGTCTACCTTTAAAACATCAATGCGAAATCTCGTTTTAGAATCGAACAATAAATTTGAATTGGACTTTTTAGGCGAGCCATGACAAACCGGATTGAGATTTCGGTCGCACCCCTTGACCAGTGGAACTGGTACCAGGATTTTTCAGGGAAGTTCCCGGCCTGGGCATCGTAGATATTGCATAATTATCTAACAGAGTCTCCGCGATTCCCTCCTCCTCGCCTTCGATGTCGTCCACGTAGACTTGCAGCGTTAAGGCACGCATTTTCAAGACCCACACGGCCTGGCGGCGAAGTTATAATGTCACGACTAATTCACAAACGATTACCACTTTCAAGAAATAAGGAGAAACAATATATACCTGATCCAACGGATTTTTCCGCAACAAATCTGTGCATACCGCGGCGCAAGCTTCGTACTTTTGTCGGCTGAATAAGCTCAAAGCTGTGAATAATTCCATGCTCGACGAAGTCTAAATTACCTCCAGGAATGAAACACCAGTCTCGTAGCATTGATCCGATTAGACTATACCACTGTACTATGTTTTGAGCAACCACCTGCCTTATGGCGTACATACACAAGCGAAGTTATTGATTATTCCGAGTTATCTTTTCTTTCGTAACGACGACGTAAAATGTAAAGGTAGTAACCGATGCAATAGTATATACATATGGTTGGTATTTGTTTTTAATCACATGCGATATGACATATACTGGGATAAGTCTTTATAATGTTTTTTCAGCGCTAACGACATGAACGAATAAAATTGTCAAATGTATTCCTGATATGATTTTGATTTACTTGAATGATTACAATCATTTTTTCATTTATTAGAAAATTGTAATTGCCATGGCATTTGTTGGTAAAAATCATCCAAGGTTAGTGTAAAAAAAGAGCCGATTATTATCGTGACAATTTATAATTTTTACATATTTATTATGTGTATGATAATCATTGTAGCATACGAGAAGCATTCGAACGGTTTTTTGAGACGAAAAATATAGAGGAACAATGCACCGAGCAGTCTTTGATACATTTACACAATGCTTTTTTGGTATGTAACTAAATGTCTTTCTCCCCAATTGATTTTATTTCACAAAAATGGGCTCGTTCAGGCAACGGAGAATGGAATAATGAACTCTTCTCAATTATACGATGCGTTCCACGACATTCTCGAGATAAGAATGTCACAGTACGAGTTCCAGGTTTTCTTCAAGAAAGTCAGTTAATTGTTCCTCAAATTTCTTTAAAAGTGCGTTTTCTACAATTTTCCTTCGAATACCTTTCAAAATGTATAATTGCCAATTCCAGATAGATACAAGACTTGATGACAAGGTGACGTGGGACGAATTCATTACTTACTTGCTGATAGAATTTCGGGACATAGACACTAGCGTGAAATCGCAAATGTTGGAAACGCCGTTAACAGATTTACCGAAATTACTCAGAACCCGTCATCGCACTCCCGTATGCAAAATTACATTTTGTCCAGAAGTTTTGCCGGTATGCGTTCAATATTTAAAGGATCTGATGCGCGAGTCGATCAACTCTACAGTTTTATAGGAAGCTGACTGTCATGTATCAAACAATATCTTATATCTGTTGACATTCCGCAATGTGTTGGAAAACTGGTTTTTAACAGAAAAAGGAGTCGATCGGCTTTTGCATCAATTAAAATTATCTCTTCCGAAAAAAATAACTTTCTGCCTGCAAGCGTGTCCTTTTATGGTAAAGCTCCATTATGTTAATTTTTAGGACAGAAGCACGAGTTTTCGCCGAGGTTGTTATCTGACCGTTAGCCGAGAAGGAGTGATTAATTACTGGTCGCTAGATCTCGAGTACGAGCGTACTGTGCAATCCAAGAATCGTTAGTACTTCATTAGCACCTCTCTCTTTCTCGCCTTCAGCTGACGCTTCTGTCGTTATCACTTTTTTGCAGCATACTTAAAGGTGCAATCTACTGTTATAACCGACATGATCGTGCTGCCGGATGTTCAGGTAGTGTGCACAAGTTCAACGGAATGCGATTTGAGATTTTACGACGTATCGGCGAAAAAGTTTGATCTTCGTATACTGGTTAGCGACCGGTCCAGATTTCGTAAAACTGTATCAATCATCTATCCGCTACTGATATACTTTGAATTAATGAGTGAATGACATTTCTAGATATCCAGTTTGCAAAATGCAGTCGTTTGTATGCACTATTACTTCAGTACAGACAGGAATGAGAATTCCTACATCGTGCTGGGCGATACGAGTGGATCCGTCACAATCATGGCCTTTAATCCTACGGACAGAGGACCTTTCAAGCAACATACCGCATGCGACACGATCGTTCTTCGTTACGACAATGTCATTAAAGTAATCTAAAGATTAGCGAAGTAGCCGTTACAAATCCCGTCGACTGAATGCCGGCATTTACAATAAGTTGATTGCAGAAATCGAGATCATCCATTCCGTAACTGTTTAAATGACATTTAAACAATTTTTCATGTAATTGTTTCATTTAAACAATTACAAAATAATAGATGTTTCTCAGCTTCTGCTGGCAATCTGCTAGCTTCTTGCTTGAACTGGGTATCTTAATGAAATATACATCAGACATGCTTATCATTCTTCTAAATCTAAAAGATTATCGCAATTAGGGAGAGCTACAAGGATTTGACGTCACAGAGTTTAAGAACATACATACAAACTGGACGAGCCAGGTGGCTTATTACGGGAGCCTACGCGCGTTTGTATCGAGCAGTCAGTGCTCCGTTTGTTCCCTGTGCGTTTTCGATGCGAGTGGCGCGAGGACGCAATATAAATTTCAAGTTCTCATGGGAATATCCTGCTTCACGCTCTGCGACGGTATCTTCTCGCTTCGCAGCCGCGGATCAATCGGTCGATTTTGCAAGATGTTAAACGTAAATGGAAGATATAACGACTTTTTCAGAGAGTCGCATACTGGTGACGGGTGGGCCAGACTGCGTGGTTCGCATTTGGAATCCGTTTGTCCCCGTGAAGGCGAATGCCGTTCTGTCGGGGCACCGTTCGACCATCTGCGCGCTTGTCGTAATAGACGCCGGCAAGCGCATTTATTCCCTGTCGAAAGACAGGTGCGTAAAAGTGTGGGACGTCCCAGCTCATAGCTGCATTCAGGTTTGAGAAGTTGCGGGATAGTCTTCTTCTTCTTCTTTCTGTTGTATATTTTATTTCGTTTATCTTTTAAGGTAGTTCTCCGGTCCTTGTACTAGAGAAAATCGATTTTCTACAGATTTTCTTGAAACTGAATATACGTTAATTTAGGTGTGCTTTATGCGTGGTATAAACTTCAATTACCTCTTGCGGTATAAAAATCGAGATACTGAGCCTCCAAAGTTTCAATTTTTACCAAAATTTAGTAAAAGTTGAAACTTTGAGGCTCAGTATCTTGATTTTTTATACCGCAAGAGGTACTGGAAGTTATACCACGCATAAAGCACACCTAAATTAACGTATATTCACAGTTTCAAGAAAATCTATAGAAAATCGATTTTCTCTAGTACAAAAACCGGAGAACTACCTTAACAAATATAATGACACGGATATATTTCACAAACAGACGTACAACAAATTGCCGAGTGAGCTGAGTGAATACGCCCCGATGACCATAGTGTTCAACACGCTGACTCGTACGATGATCATCGCCAGCATGATGATAGCTGTCCTCGTATGCGAGAATGTGATTAACGAGGAAATCTCGGACGGCTACACGCACACCAAGGGCGTCAGCTGTGTTCTCTATACTCAGCTGTTCCAAGTGGTGACTCTCTTATCCGAAAATCGTTGATAAAAATTGTTAAAGCGACGATATTTGTTATTCCACCGGTATGCAGATTGTTTCTACGGGATTGGATTCGTGCATCATTGTGTGGGATCCGTGGCGCGGACGCCGTTTACGTTTGATATCGCACGCCCACAGTGTTATGCGATACGGACAACATGCCGATATCGAGATCACCGCAGCTTGTTTCGATGTTTCGGAACAATTTTTAGTAACCGGCGCCAGAGACGGTTCGTTGAAAATGTGGAATTACAATACCGGCGTTTGTGTGCGCGACATGATCGTCGATCATCAATGGTACAGTGGACGTTAAAAATAACTGCTTTTTTTTCTTACAAATTGTATATATATGGCATTTGATTAAATTACAAAAAGTACTGTAATCTCGTAAAAAACTGTGACTTTTTAAAAAAATTATTTATATAACAGTTTTCTTCTTCAAGGTATTTTATGTCGCATAATTTGAATTAGAAAATTACATGAATTAGAGAATGTTTTCTTTCTTATATTACTGATAAAATAACATTAAAAAGTAATCCTAAGTGAAAATCCAATAGAGTTACAGTACTTTTCGATATCGACTAAATGAGCAGTAATAAATTCTCATTTTATACCGCGTTCTTATATTTTATTTTATAGCGAAATAACGAACGTCGTATGGTACGAAGATCGAATCTTGTGCGGCGGCCGGAATAAACACGTGACAGAAGTTGCGGCTTTCGAGTCTGACGTGTGCAAAAAACATTGGATAACCAGTCACACCGACGACATTCTGTGTTCGGCCGCAAAACTTCCACAGTTGCTGGCTACCGGAACGTACAACGGGGAACTAATTCTCTGGAGGCTCGAAACGGGTCAGCCTTTTAGAAAGTACCAAGTGATCGACGTTAGCAGAAGGTGACGTCAATTTGGCATTCGTCATGAGCAACAATTAACACGGCAAACGACGACAATATGCAATTAGAGGCCAATTGATTTAATATAGGTACATTGCGAGAAAGACGAACGCGCAGATAGAGTCCGGAAAATCAGATAAGATCGGCAGAGCTGTCGATCAGCAAATCAAGTAAATTATAATGCCCCTATAGCTGCAAAAGAAAGGTTTGTTGACGCGTGTTCTAAACCGACTCCTCGTGAGACAGAAAACTGACTCCGTGTGCTCATCAAGAGTCAGCATTGAATATCGTTCGCGTGACCGCGGTGCGCGCGATAATCTTTCTAATCGCGCGAGAAGCGAAACCGGACGTCGGCACGCTGCTGGTCGCGCTCGATTCCGGCCTGGTGCAAGTGTGGACGCATCATCCCGCGGCGGGATTCTTAGCAGCTTTCTCAGTCATCCACACGGTCGGCGACTGCGCCACGTCCTTGGCCACCGATTCCGAAAATCAATTTCTCGTAACAGGTCTTGACTTCCTAAACAATCAATTGAATGTTAAACTTTTCGCGATTATCTAGGCCAATTTTTGCTCGATCGTTCACAACTTTGCTCCTGGAACTTTTCCTCGAAGGCCACAGCGTAGGGTACATAAAAGTTTGGCTCCTCTCCAATTACATGCTACCGAATCCGCCGAAGATATGTATGCCGCTACTGAGACTGGAATTTCCATTCTTGTGGAAAGATAAAATAGACGGACGAGCGAAGAGAGCGGTGCGAGATCAGACGCTGCCGCTCCTGCTGTCATCTGTGCGCGGTCATACGCGGGGGATTACTTCTCTTCAAGTCATTTCTAGCGCGCGAATGATAGTTAGGTACGCAGGATCGTTGTAAAGATCGATATATAGGCGCATTTCTTTACTGAGAGAAACTTAAATAAATAACAGTGGTAGTGCGGATCGCACGGTACGTTTGTGGAGCCTTGGAGGTCGTTACATATCGATGCTGGGCACGTTCAGAGATTGGGCCACGATTTTGCCCACTGTGCCTGTGCACAGATATTTCGAGGATTATAAGCTTCCAGCGGACATTAGGGGACTCGCCAGTTCCACCACTTTAAAGGTAAATTAAAAAAATGTATGCGGAAATGTGCAATGTATAATGTATATCATTGGGACACGATGCACAGGTACTTCACGGTGGCATGAGACGAGTGCCGATAGAGATCGAGGAAGAGGAAATCGATATCCCAAAAGAAACTCTCGAAGAGGAGCGACACATGTTGTACGGAAAGGAATTAGACAGTTCTGTGCTTGAGAATTACTATGAATCACAGTTGCCTGAGAGAACGTATCAGAAATGTCTGCGATTAGATAATACTTTGCAATACGTGAGTACACGTACACGCTTTGTATTAAAATATTTATTTTGCAAGATTTACTTTATTATATATCGTTATATAAGATATAATTTGAACTTATAGAAATCTCATTATTGTAGATACCAATTTATACGCATTTACCAACATACTCTTTAAAACCTGTGGAGGAGCAGAAAACACTCTTGCTCGGACAGAAAGTGGAACTTATGTAAGGAATTTTTATTTTTATTTGAAAACTGAAAAGATATCGCACGGGAATGTTTGTCCAATATTTTAAAAATATTTATAATTACAGTAAAAAGGTACATTTAAGAAGAGCAATAAAACCACTGCGTTCTCATGTGACGGAACGAGCCAAAGGCACTTTCACAAGATCAAGTCTAATGCAACGTTAATTCTCCATGAACTTTATAAAACTCTCTTGCTAAATGTTAGTAAAACAATATATATTTTACACGTTGTATAAATCGAAATGAGATATTAATTTAGATTACTTGGATTAGTAGAACTCATATTTATATAACAATTATTTTTCGATCTAATTATTCACTAACTAAATCGATCATCTAATTACGTACAGGCTTTAATCTCTCTTCAGCGAATACAATAATGATGATATATAAATAAGTAATTAAGCATTTACTACGTTTACGCGAGCGTTACTTCTGTAGTAACTTACGATAATTCACTTGTTTACGCGGAGGAATTATCGTTAAGTTACTATAAAAGTAACGCTCGTGTAAACATAATAATCGTCAAGTTGTAATGATGCTACGTACATACATTATTGTCACTCGGTGAACATCAGGATATAACAATGAACAACGCGCCCTCGTGTACTTTTATTTCAAATTAAAACGATTTGTCTTAAATATTACGACATTTCATCATCGGCTAATAGCACATGCATACAATACTAAACTATAATGCCTCCGATCATGTTCATGCTCAAGTATTTTCTGTGATTTAAAATTTATGACAATTTTGGTTCAAGAAATTCGGTTTCCATCATGGAAATACGCGGCGGCGTTTTCCAGATTGCACTGGATGTACGCTTCAATCGACTTCTATCTATGCCATGGAACAATTCGGTCAAATCTGGCGTGCACTTACGAGTATTGAAGAACTTGTAAACTATTGCGTCAGGAATGTGTAGTTGCATCGCGAGTTGCGCTTTGCGAACATGTGCTGTAATTAAAAAATATATACATATATATCTTTCCTTGTTTTCTTATTTTAACGATAATTTAAAATATCATAAAAAAAAATGCACATACCCTGTGCCCAATGCGGTATCTCGTGTTTCGGTCTGCTTTCATCATCTGATTCATCATCGTCAGGTTCACTATCTAACACATAACTCACGGTAGCACCTTGATGCTTATTATTGGCTTGTTGCTTATGCTAAAAAAAAAATCAAATAAGCAATTCAGTTATACGAGCAAATAGAGTTCGAGTCATTTTCTTCGAGGTAAAAGACAACTCACTTTAGCTTGAGCCGCAAGTAACTGTTGATTTTTCTGCTGAGATCTTAATGCTTCGGCGGCGGCTTGTTGGGCCCTCGCTTCCGCTTCCCTACGTTTCTCGGCTTCTTGCTCCCGGCGTCTTTGCTCGGCGAGCGAACGTTCCGCCTCTTCTTGTTCCTGCAACCTCTGCAATTTCTGTTGCTCCTCCAGTTTGCGGCGCTCTTCCTTCTCCTGGGCTCGTTGCAATTGGGCGAGACGCTTCCTCTCCATCTCCTCGCGTTGCTTTTCTTGCATCGCAAGGGCTAATTTCGCCTTCTCCTCTCTTTCTCTCTCGGCTCTCTGCCGTTTCTCCAATTCCTGCTTCTCCTTAGCTTCTCTCGCTAATTTGTTCTTGAGCTCCTTCTCTTGTCGCTTCCTACGTACAAAGCACATATACGAGATATCGTTCCGACAATTGTTCATCTTTTACGTTAAGAAAATGTACCTTCTCTTCTCCTCCGTCAGCAATCTCAAGGCTTCCTCTCTCTTTTTTCTCGCGTCCTCCTCAGGCCGCTTCTTTTCGTCTAATTGGTTCTCCGCCGAATTGGTTTTAGTGGTACTTTTTGGGGGTGGAATCAAAGACTCCATATTAGTAATGATGTTCGCACGCGAGGCGGTTAAAGTTTTTGAATACTGAAATTAAAATACACGTAATTAGATATGTCGCGGTGCAATTTAAAAAGAAACAAAATTCTGCATTGATCTCACATTCGAAAGATTCTGCGTGTTTAAAGGGGTGTGAAGACGATTCACAGACAATGTAGGCTGCATCAACTTTAGCTTGCTTAAAGGTGTCGTTTTTAACTGCTGTGTTTGCTTCACGTTTATTTTATCAGTTTGAATCTGAAGCAATTTATTAATACGTTCTGGCAGTTGTTCCTTGTTCTGAAAAAGCAAAATCGGTTCATTAGTCAATGAAATCCAGCATTAAAAGAAAGTCGAAAGGATTAAAATAATTGTAAAATATAACTAACCACAGATTCTTTTACCTCTTTTAACTCTTCGTTTTTCTTTTGTTTCGCTAACGAGATCCTCTTAGCTTTCGCGACCGACTTACGAGCTAATTTTTGCGCAACGCTCTTCTCATTCGTTTCTGTCTCCATTTCCGCGGTGGCCATTGCACGAGTTTTCGTCCTGGTTATTCTGGTTGGAGCGTCTACGTCGACCTTCGATCTCGGGCTATACATAACCGCCTGCTCGAACGCTTCGACTCGCTTCTTCACAGATTCCTTTGCGTAAGGACTAAATAAGGCGTTCGACTTGTACGCGGTTTTACTTTCTTGCGCGGCCATGGGCGCAACTGCGTCCTTGACGCGCGTCTTCACCGGCGTATTAGGGATCTCGTCGTCGCTGGACGTCGATGACGTGCCTTTGACTTGTTTCTTATTAACCTTCTTCCTACCAAGTTGCTTTCTCGGCTTTTTTGTTTCAGGCGACGATTCATCGTCTGTAATCAATTCATCACAGTCATTGTATTGTGCGGGTGCTTTGTACGATTGCGCAACGTCTTGCGATGTTTTCTTAGAACTTTCCTTTTCCTTCGACTTCTTGCTGTTTCCAGCTGCTTTCTGGATCACCACTGTCTCGTTTAAATTTGGCTGTTGTGGTAAACGCTCCAATACCACTGTGGCGTTTAACTGTGGCAAGAGACTGTGCTTTAAAGTTGAATTCATCACTGGAACAGGCTTTCCAATCGCATCCTCGTACATGGACGGTTCATCGACATCATCTGCATTGGGTGCAGCAATTGTGTCATCGACATTATTCACTTCCCTGTTCTGAGAACTCTTGAAGCTCGCCGTATTGGAGCTTGCCCTACTAGAGCGTCGTAGAACTGGCGATTCAAAATTATCATCCTCCTTGGTATTCTTACCCATAGCTTCTTCAACAGGTTCCGTAGATTCCACAGGTTGAGCAATCTGTTTGGATTGCTTCCTCGTCACTCTTCTCGTTTGACTTTCCTCTATTCTGCTATACTTGAAAATCCTATCGTTATCTTCATCGGAACTGCTTGCTGCTGACTTTTTCCTTTTAATCTGACTGTCTCTCTTCATCTAAAATTAATAAAATTGTACATTATACAATGCTATACGTCATAACAACAAATGTAAAATCCTACAACTTGCAAATCAACATATTACAACATAGAAAACCATCGTTACTTACTTTCTTTACAGAATTACTCAGGATGAGGCTTTGCTTCTTGATGTTATCCGCTGCTCTCTTGGATGCTCCTCTCTTAGCTCTACCCCCTACGACCTCATTCTCCTTTCGTTCCTCCTCATTGACAGACTGCACGGAGCTCGCTGGCGAAAGATGTTCCTGCTGAAACACCTCGTCCTCCGGTATGGTCTCGATACGCTGGACCAGTCTTTTCCGATTCTTCGGCGTCTTCGGGACGAGCGGCCCAGACGACGGCTGTGACAATTGCGCGGCGAGCTCCTGCACGTAGGACAGACTGTCCTCCAGATTCTCCCTGAGACGGTTCGACAGTTCCACGCGACGATTGTGGATGACCATCAGATCATTGATAACGGTCTCGCGGATCTCGGACTTCGATCGGGCGTTCATGGTGCCGGGGGCGTAAATTCGTGACGATTCCTGTATGTACGTCCGCGTGTGTTACCGCGGTATAGGCACGCGCGTGTCAAAATTCAACACCTATATCCCGGACGACGCGAATACAGACGAGACATTACGGCACGGCGGCGTGCTCGCGGGAACGGCGATGATAATAATAATAATATTCAAGCAGCACACCGAGATCAGCCGATTCGGGCGGGCTACGGACCGAGTGGCACCGAGCGCCGGTTTCTTCTTGTTGGCGGGCACATGGAGACGAATCAGAATCCTCAGCCGCCCGGAGGCTAACGACTTTTCCGTTTGATTTGAATCGAGACCCCTGGCGACATCTGTACCCGCCATCAACCTCCCCGCGGCCGCGTTCGTGAACGCATCGTTGTCGCGACTTATGAGGTTCCTCAGAAAGTTAACATAAAGTGCAGCACCATATCAAAATTGGTAGTATTTCGCGCGAGTTTCAAACACCACGTATAATATAGCGTTTTTTCTTGGCTGCACTATCGCCTACTAGTGCAACACTAGTGCAACACTAGTGCAACGCTATTGGGTAGTGCAGGGCAGTGCAGGGCGGTAGTGCAACCAAGAAAAAACGCTAATAGTCTAATATACTTAATATATTATGTCCAATATACTTTTTACCCGGCGAACTAAATTGTAACAAAGTTATTTCAATTAATGAATGCGAACAAACATTATCGATTGACATACAGTCATAATATTTTTATTATAATACTGATTTTTCTTCCCATATGTCAACAATTGGTGTTTGAAACTCGCGCGGAATACTACGAATTTTGATATGGTGCTGCACTCTATGCTATACCTTTCACTGAGGAACCTCATTTCCAGGGCTGCGTTCGGAAACGTCACCCGGGTACACACGGGTATACTCTTTTCTCCTTCTATCTCGCTGAGATAGAAAGAGAAAGGAGTATACTCGTTTGCACTTAGGGTAGCGATCATGTAACTTTTTCCCTAGAGCGGAAACGTGAAAAGTGAAAAATTTCATGTAACTATTTCTTTCTATTGGTATTGAATAGAAAGAGATAAACTTTTCACTTTTCACGTTCCGTCCTAGGGGAAAAGATACATGATCGATCCCCAGGTGACGTTTTCGAACGCAGCTCAGGGAGCGTGGATGGAAGAGTAACTAGAAAAAAGTTACTAGATTTAAATCTCGCGTAACAAAGGAACGTGCGTACCGGCTAAAGATAAAAATACAAATTCGCGAAGAAAAGGCAATAAAGAAAATTTGACAATCTTTTTATTTTGTTACATCCTTTTATAAATGTTAATTCTTTTTTTTCTCTTATTTACATTTCTAGTGTGTGTAAACAGCACCTTTTAATTTATATCACATTTAAATTGTTGTCGTCAATAACATAGGTATCCATTCAGAAACACATAAAAATTGAGAACAAATATTAACAAATTGAAATCATATAAATACATATTATAAATATATATTTATAAATATATACGTACATATATCGTTTGATATAATTTGTAAACACATGTATCCACTGACATGAACAAATTTTTTTGCATATCCATATCAAACTATGGAATGCCCTTTTTAAATTTATCACAATTATCAGTTATATAATGTGCAGCAAATTATTTGAATTGGCAGTGCACAATACACGTTATGATAATCACTTGGTCCTACCCTGCATTATTTAAATGCGAATTATCTACATCTATTCTCTCGTTAAATGTAAACAAGCTCATTGCTTTTAAAATCACATTTTGATTTTCGATTGCTTAAAATTTAAATATATCCTCAGAAAAGTAGATCAATCTGTGAAATCGCAATTTGTTTCCTTTTTTTTTTTAACAGTAAAGTGCAGTTGCAAAAAATTTATCACATTATTACGAATGGAACAATTCTCGATATTATTTTACATCGGAAATCCGGACGTGCAAATTCCAAAATTGAACCGTCGTTAAACTCTGCCTTTTCTTAAACTCGTTTGTCTTACGAATTACTGTCCGCTTCCTGTAGCCTCACTAGGATTTTCCGCAGAACATTGACCTCTTTGAGCAAATATCTTAAGCACCTCGACTTCAAAGTTCGGATCAAGCAAAATATCTATTCCCTTTGTTCCATTCGTCGAATACTTTTGAAATACGGTCTTGGCTACTTCCCATAATGAGCAATTGTGTTGCAGCGTACGGACCAGGGGCAGCGCCGATGGGAACAATAACGACAAGTTACTAGAAAATAAATGTAAAATGAAAACAAGGTCTATATCATCCAAATAAATTATCGAATGTACTCACGTAAAGACGGGAATAACTAAATTAGTAATGAATTGTATTTGGAGATCAGGAATCGACGCACGTTCCCTGTCCATCATTTCGACCGGCGCGTTGCCCATGCTTTTCTCGAGATCTCCTTGCGAGAAGAATTCGTCAAATATTTGCTCCTAATACGGAAAATTAAAATTTATTTATGGCCATCATTGGACTTGTATAATAAATCGGACATTTAAAGTTAAGCGAATTTTACCGCCGTTTTCTTCGAGATTTTCCAATCTTTGGTCTGATCGCTAAGATCGCAGCAAGTCATAAGCATCTCGAATAACAGCTTTTGCTGTTTCGAATCATTTTTGTTATATCCACCGCGAATCATTTCTTCTTGGTTCCTTATGCTACGAAAGTGAGAGGCTAGATCAGTCGCGAGTATATTGCTCCTCAGCAAATCCAAAGCTTCGCTGTACTCGTTGCTGTCCAAACTCTCAAATATATTGCAGCCTTCGGTGTTTAAAATGCACATTGTTTGTGCAAGATGATGTCTCTATGAAACAAGGAGTAATAGATCTGTTCAGTTGGAGAACGAAAATTCTTTAAAAAACTGTCGACATTCCGTGTCTTACCTCCATAACAGATCCCTCTGAACTGTAAAGACTCGCTAATACGGTGCCGCACTCGGTTTGAAATGAATTATTAGTTCCTCTATGGTCTATATCGTGACATAAACACGACACAAGAAACACCAGGGCCTGTAAGGGGGTCATGTAATTTTCCTCAATAAGTTGCAGATTCTTTATCAACAGATATGCAAAGTGCGCCACGGAGAATGCATGTGTCCAATTGTGATAAGGTGCGTCTCTGTAGCCTTTCTTGACATACAGTATAAATCTGAAAATTATGTTACGTTACAAAATAAAATTTATTGAATCATACATCACTTCGTATTTCGCATCAGTACCTTGTAAGGGTCGGCATTTTAATTTGGTTTAAGAAATTCAAGTCTGTAAACATTTTAATAGTGTAGCAAGGTATATGTTTGTAAGGTACGTTCCTCGGACTGAAGTGAAATTTGTTGAAATCTTTAATATTGTGGTCGTCCCCGCAATTCAACAACGCTTGCACAGCAGATTCCTCCACCTACAAAGAGAAATCCCTCTACGTAATCCATTAATCGATTATAAAATATATCGTTTGTCCGACAAATGTCTTACCTTCATGTGATACATCATTATCTCGTTGCTGAGCTTATTTCGAGCTTGAGCATCCTGCATTTTTTTATAAACGATACTATGCATTATCGATATACCGCAATAGATACTGAACGCCGTCGCGATTTGTTCGTCAAAGGCATCGAAATACAAACCGTTTATTTTATTGCACAATTGAGCCACTCCTAAAACATAACTCTTTACATCTTCAGGTTTTTATTACAATTTATTTTAATTGCAACATTCTCGCAGGACGTTTAACCCAGTATGTTCTAATTTACCAACAATCCCTTTCTCGTCCCGTATTGGAAAGCACAAAATATTTCTAGTCCTAAATCCCGTCGCCTCGTCTATCCCGCGATAAAAAAGGGGATGATTGTAAGCGTCTCGAATATTGAGTAATTTACCGGTGGTCGCAACATGACCGGCTATACCCTGTCCAATAGGTATTCTCATCTCGCTTATAGCCTAGGAACGTTAAAAAACAAAAACGTCGAGTTAAATTACAAAACATTGATCCATTTGCATGTGAAATTAACTGCGCAAGTTACCTACTTCTCCCGTGGAAATGCCATCGAACACTTTTGCAACCAAATCTTGTTGATCAGGATCCAAAAGGAATAAAGAGCATCTCTCTGCGTTCGTCAAATTTCTGACCTCCGCCATAATCTCGCGCAGAAGATCAGAAAAGTCTCCTAGATTTGGATTGGAAGATAAATAAAAGATGGTATAGAGATTAAATATCTTGGAGTATAAGGGCTCAGACACAATGACAAAAATAAGAAATAAGATAAAGGAGTAAGGAATAAGGGAATGTCGCATCTCACTTCAGTACACGTACATTAAAGTGAGAGAGAAGTGAGAGAGAAAGTGAGTACATTGTGTCTGAGCCCTAATATATCGGATATATTGTACTTGGAGCTGATTCATACCCAAATACGTGAAGAGCTTCCTGGAAACGGCTAGTAATTTTTGACACTGTTGTTTCACGCGAATTTCCTCGTAGCAACGCAACGAACTGAGCAAGTATCCAAGACAAAACCTGCGATATTTTTTTTCATTCAATATAAATTACGTTCCATTGGCAATCGCACAGTACATAACAATTGCATTATACGATACCTAAAGCATTCTTGAACTAACTCTGTACAAGCGTGTCGAGCTTCATCCCCATCCACGTAATCTACCAGGCACACGAGCAAAGCCGTATAATGCTTGAAAGGATGCTGTATCGGGATTGTTAAGAGGGATTGCGCCGTCGCGTCGGTTATCCTATTAATGTGTCTCAATAATTCTCCATCGAGTTGCGCAACGTTCAGAGCTAATGAGGTTTTGTTTATCACAGCCTCGTACAAAACACTGTTTGGTATCTGCAAAACAAATTTAATTCTGTTCTTCGTAACTCACAGAAAATATATCGGGCGAAAATTGTTGCTACCACATTCGTTTTTCAAATCAATAAATTAGGGATATTAATCGGGAAATGTGTGTGCCAAGCTAGGAATATAAATTTAAATGGATGACAATTATCCTATTGGGTTGATCAATAAAAAATCTGACCTATAATCTTATCGCAAACAAAGTGTGATATGTAACAAATATCTAAATATATCTAACAAAGTGCTGTAAACAAAACTGGAGAAGATGATTATTTTGTCATTTTGGATAGCCCTTGCACTCAATTAAAATTATCGTGCCGTCTAACATTTTCCTCTCTCTCATCCTTAAATTTTATTCTATACAGGAAATCGTCGCGACGGAGACACTTACGAGAAATCTCAATTCTCTATCCAGAATTTCGTCGCCTATCACATGGACAACCATTTCCTCAGTTTCTACCTGTACCGATATGAGAAAGACTAGCCTCGAGTTCGTCACGTCCTGCACCTGTAGAATAAAAAACGAGACTGAAAAAGGAGGCGACGAAAGAAATTGGGAGGAAAATGACATTAACGAATTCGGCTACTACAAAAAAAAAGAAAAAAAAAGAAGAAATGACCGAGCCAGCCGGTGTTCTGTCATCCGACCTAGCAGACGACCGCGATCGCTCGTGGTGGCGTCGCGCCACCATTGGTCGACCGGCGCGAGGTCCCGGTGGCGGGTGTCACGATCCTCGCAAGCCCCGGGCATCCGGTGCGGCCGCGATTTCGTACAGAAAGTTCGTACGTTTTCGTACGTACATATTTGTTGAGCCGCCGCTGCACCTCCGTGTACGGCAGGTCGCACAGCTGCTCGATCAGCGCGAGGATCCTCGTCGGGTTCGTGCCCATCACGGCCGATCGCGAATCGGGTGGTCTTCCTCTGCACCCACCGAGACTCCCGCGCGAATCATTTCAGGATGGGACGCGCGGCGCGACGGGAACAACGTCGGCGACATCGATCGTCCCGTCGCAACCCTTCGCGTGGGCCGACATCGGAGTGGACACCGTTGGAAAAACCGAGAGTTGAAACTGCGCGCAGGCGGTTGGTTTGGTCCCGCGTGAGTCCCGTCTCCCGTCGCGCGATTAACCGCAACCGATCGTGGCCAGGGGTTGACCGGGTTGACGACGAGGGAAAGCGCGGTCGATGACGAACTCAGGAGCGACAGGAGCACCGCGTCAAACGGCGTCAACACTGACAGGCGGCAATCGCGCGCGACTCCGACTGCATCGCGTCGCGTGTCGACAATGTTTTTTTTTTTTCTTCTTTTGTTATAAATATAATTCCGGGTACGTTCGGAAGTTGCTTTCCGATCGGCAGAATGAAGCGGGGTGAAGAAAGGGGATTGATTGTACATATACCTGGAAAATTAACACAAGTGAACAGATTCACTAGATTTCGACAAATGAAATTGTAGATAATCTAGTGCCTATAACCTCACTTTTGTGTTGATTGATCCCCGAGCCTGTGATTGGCCGAGTTCTTTTACGCCATACGCTGCTCCATGGACTCCATCCTTATGAATCGATTTTAGATTGGCAATACTTTTAAACTCCGTTTTAAACAGTTTGCATCGGGAAACGATCGTTTTTGACAAGATGAATAATTGCAGCTGCGAGAAAAAACGTCTCTCCTAGGCGTTTCTGGCGAAATAACCGCGTATTAACAGCGTATCACGGACAATAAAGATTTTGTATTATTAAGATTATTCGGTGATGCTCGGTAAAAGGGAAAGCAACGATTGCCGCGTGATCACGAGTCGCGAGGATCGAACGATCGTCACTGATTCAGGGAATAGTTGATGTTTGTGTTAGTCGTATATACAATTGTGATGTCACATAACACGGTTTTTCTTCGTTCCGTAATAATATAAACAATGCGGTAGTCATAATGTATTTATCCAATTGCAACAACAATGACGTGAGGTTACGTTATTTCGTCATCTTATAAGTTGGTGATCTCCAAGCTCTTTTGTAATAATCAATTGTACAAATTGTACCGTCGACCGTATTGTCGATTGTATACATCTCGCGAGGATGAGCAGGGACGTGGAATATAATGTCGCTACTAGATACCGAACGGTCAGGAAGCACCTGGACAACCTGGGATACAAGCAGGCGCTGTCCTTGGACGCTCTACCTCTGATAGAGGCCTTGCTGGCCGATCTCGTACAAACCACGGACAGTCTCGAGCACTTCAAAGCCGTTGCTCGGGAGAACGTCGAGGTACGCCCCGTTCGCCGATTGCGTGTTCGCGAGAACGTTCAGTCTTCTCTGAATTTGCAGAGAGAAAACATTTGAACGCGGTCTCATTTGTCTAATTTCAAGTAAAAGCTAACAGTAGGAGACACCGGAGACACGATCTTGCGTGTCGTAACGTCACTGACGAGAATAATGCGATTTTAATCGAGTATTTTTGACGTATATGGATCTAATTTGACGTATCATCGACAGGCATGCAGCCAGTTGCAATTGACAGTTGACCCGTACAAATGTGATAATGCGCGATTGGTGCGAGAGTGCAACCAGCTTCACTCGGATCTGATAGAAACTAAGGAAGCGCATCAGAAGCAGGTCAAGGATCTCAAGAGGCAGATATACAAGTTGGAATGTGAGTGCAACGATCTGCAATTGGCATCCTCGCGTAATATATATAAGATAAAGGAGCTGGAGGCAGAGTCAGCCGCCAAGTCTAAGAAGATATTGGAGCTCCAGGGCAAGTGCCTAAAGCCAACTGTCATTAATGTTGGTTTTGGTGAGTTGTTTTGTTGTTCTGTTGCGAGTGTCGACAAGGCATCTGACGTTATCATTAATTTTTAACACAGTATATATGCACTTTTTTACAGCTGCTAAGAAGCGTCCCAGCTTTCCTCTTCGAAGACCAGTCTTGGAAGCTGAGCCGATGCCAAAGGCAAGAAGCAGCGGTTCACTGCCCAAATTAAGTAGCGTGGATCCTAAGATAATAGATGTAATAAGCATGGCGGATCACAAAATGAATTGCTTGAGTCAGGAGGTAACAAAATTGCGAGCGGACCTTTTATTGCAAACTGATACCATAGAGACCCTTGAGAAACAGGTATACTAAGCATCAATATTTATGCACGCATTTCTCGATTGTCTCTTGAACGTTCTCCAAGAAGAAACGTAAATATTGTGCATGCTAAAAATCTGTTCTGCATGCTAAGAGTTATTGACGCATAGTAACAATATTTTTAAGAATATAAATATGTATAATTGTTTATTAGCACGTTATTGTAAAACAAACAATCTTTTACAGCTGACCACAAAGGAGAGAGAAATAATTCGACTGAGAAAAATGCTGGAGGATGGTCACTCCTACGTTCCAGTTGGCAGGGACTGCACTTGCAGGAAAATGGAAAAGAAAGCTGGTGTTACCTACGGTGACGGTACGGAGATTAATGAAGTGAGGATTCTCCAACAGGCCAAATTGGAACTGGAACAGCAACTAAAAGGCAAGGAATTGAGAGAGAGATTCTTTATTTTCAACATAATTATTTCGTACGAAAACATCTAATTTACGTACTCCATTTTTTTTTTAATGACGCAGAATCTCTAAATAAGCAACACGATGCCATGTCTCAGGCAATGAAACTAGCAGCACGAAATGAGGAACTGGAGAAAGAATTAAGAGATATAGATCACGTTGCGTTAGCTGTAGAAGCCGACTGCAATTCTACGGTTAAAGAGAATAACAGAAGAGTTTGTAGGCTCCAGGTAACCACGGCGATTGCATTAATGTATGTTTTTCAGATATTTTCTTTGTTTTCATACTTTTATGCTTGTTTAGGGAAAGTTGGAGGATGTCATGATGCAGGTACATGTCTTAGAGCGCGAGTTAACCGTAGAACGTAGAGAGGTACAAGAGTTGAGAGCAGATCTAGAAGCATGTAGGCTCGAAAAACGTAATGTTCAACGTACTCTAGAATCTACATTGGACGAAAAGAAACAGATGTCTGACAGGATCAACCAACTAACGGTCATTGGTACGTTCAACTTTAATATCTTTTAACTAGTCTGGGCTACTTAGATCGAAGATGAAAGTTGAAAATAATATTGCAGAAAAAAGTTTAAATAATGAAATGAAAAGACTGAGTCAAGAAAACGAGTTCCAAAGACAAGATATTGATCAGTTGCAATTTACTAATAAAATATTAGAAGAATATATACATAAAAAGAATATTGAGCTAAGTAACGAAGGGAATGATCAGATGCGAGCAAAAGAAAAGGGGGAAAAGAATGATCAGAATAATGGGATGAAAATGTCGAAGAAAAAAAATGGTATTAATATTAATAGTAAATCAATTTTTAAATGTACAGCCCAGAAAAATGTCGAATACAAATTTCGATGGAGCATTTATTTCTAAGAAAAAATTATCTAATAAGAAATATACTGAGAATCTTTTTTTTATCCTTTTTAGCACATAAAAATAACAACAGTGAGAAATGTGATATGGATTATCAGACAGCGGCTAGAGAAATTATAATAGATACAAATAACTTTGATGTGCAAAAACGGATTGACGAAGCAAATTTGAAAATTGCATCTGTAAGTCGAAAAAGTTAACTTAATATTTATCAATTGATTTGGCCTAGTAGACAGCGCACTGGTCTATTGACTACTCTCGGTGGTTTGCCATTGCCTTCCGAGAGGAGAACGAGCGAATAAAATTTTTTCGAAAATATATTTATCATTATATTTTGCAGCTACAACACACAATTCAGCGATTGGAAATGGAACGAGATCACTATAGGAAAGAATATATTAATTGTCGGGACGAGCAGCGCAGAACATTTGACAAAGATAACGTAAATATCAAATGCGGAAAGATACGCGTACAAAGGGTTATAATTTTATTGCTTGTAACAAATTGTAGGCTGATTTGTGGGCACAAGTTTGTGAATTAAAACGTGAGTTAATTGATAAGGAACAAGTTTTGAGCAAAATGCATCAGGAGAAGGAAGAACTGTGTCATGAAAAGGAGGATCTAGAAGCACGCTTGCAAACTTACAAGGGTCAACAGAGACAGATGTGTATTCCGTGCAGATCGTGCAGCTTGTGCAAACCCGTCCGTATTTGTTCCTGTGCTTCTGGCTCGCCAATATCTACTGGAGACATCAGCGCAACGAAGGTATTTAACGAATTGCAAATAAAACATAGATATATTTTATTCTTATTTCAATCTCAATTTACGCAGGCAATGCTCGAACGTCTGGAACGAGAGCGGGATACGGCCAGAGCGGATGTTGAGCGACTGATAGAGGAACGCGATGCATTACGGGAGAGACTCAAGGTAAAGAGCAGAGATCGTATAAGTTAAACTTTACATTATCCTTATTTCTTGATTTTCCCTAATGTATATTTTAAATCTTAATATACTGAGTTAACAATACGAGTTTAACATTCACGGTATTTCATTAATTATATGTGTTTGACTATAAGTGTTTAACTGTAAGTGATTAGCATAATACTGACATATTAATTTTTGCTAACTCTGTGTGGGTATGGCAATGTGTTGTAAATGCATGGCTGGATGATACCGGGACGTAGATGATGTCGGATACGCACGTGTGCGAACAACTTCGTCTTAAGGAAAGTTTAGTCGAGGCGGAAAATCGCTTGAAACATATGGAAAAAGAACGGCAAGATCTGTTGGTCACTCAGGGCACGAGAAGAGCGGCGTTAAACGGTCTCGAGGATCAGTTAGGCGACGTGCAAGAAGAACTGCGCCGTACAAAGCAGGAATTGATGGCACAACGGACGCAATATTTCCAACTACGGTAATATATTGAATTTTATTTGTAGAGGGTGCATGTGTAATCTTAATCTCCCAAACTTTCTATCCCAGGACGTTACAAGATCAAACGGATCAAGCACTTGGAGACGCGCAGGGTCAACTATCGCGGGCAGAATCGGATTTGAACAAGGCTATGGATCGTAACAGAAGTATGGAGCAGCAACAGGTGCAGTTGAACGATCAAATCAAGGAGTTGAAGCAAGAAATAAATACATTGCGTTCGAGCATGACGCTCTTGGACCAAGAGAAAGATCGGCTATTGGTAAATGCAATATTTTAGCGAATTACTATTGTAGCGTATTACTATTTCGAATAATAGTTCACAAAATTGATTATATTTTATTATTTTGGTAGATGGCATTGGACGAAAAGACAGAGAAGATCGCCGCGTTGGAACGAGAACTGATGCACAAGGATCAACAGACAGAGGGAGTGCAACAACAAATCCGCGATTTACAGCATAAAAATGAGTAAGTACATCTGCGTTTATTTACAACTTTTTTAAGCTTTCTAGAAAAATTGGCACATGTCTCTCATATCTCTTATAAGAAACTTTAGACTTTTTTGTAAGTCATATAAACGATATTTACAATACTTGAGATATTAGATATTACGTATTAAGAACACAATAAATAAAGCTTTGCTTAGATGTGAGATAAAACTAAAAATAATTCGTATAACATTATATACAAAGTTAAATCAATCATCATTCTTTCAACCGAAGAGTTCGTTGCATCACGCACTAAGGTAAAAAAAAAAAAACAAATGTAATTCGACGAAGCTTATAAATTATAAATGCCGCGCAGCGCCGCGATCACTGCGCAGCAATCTATGAGCTATTGAGCCATTCAGATCACTATTGATTTGATATTATCGTTGAGAAATTTTGCCAGACTCACTACGGGTGGCTGGCAATTGTTCGGCGAGATCAGATTATTGCTGTCCAGCTCATCCAGAGCCTCACCAGAGCTCTGGACGATCTTCTTGTAACCAGGTCGGCACTCGCACCTGGCTCTCGGTCGCGATTCTCCCCCATGTCGCCACAACCGACTGTTTCTCGGTGTCCTCTGGGCGACCAGCCATTCTCCCGCGGTACACGGGCCCTGCGTGTATAACTTGTAACAGGTTTTTTTGATCCTGACCATGCCTGGCGTGCTCTCGCAGTCGTCGCTCTCATTCGTCAGGCACTTGCCGGCATCCCTCATGCTGTTGGTACATCCGCACACGCCGTTGTAACTGATCCCGTCGAGGGACGGTCTCACGTTGTAATCGTACAACACTATTTGCCCATTCGGACACGGTCCCCGCGTACCGACCTTGTAGCAGGTCTTCTCCTGAGGAAAGTACAGTCTACCACGTTTGCATGGCACGGGAATGCAGGTCGATGAGTTCATCAGCATATAGCCGCTCTCGCAGGGTCCCCTCGTGTGCAGTCGATAGCAGAATCCGTCTTTGTACAGCACATGGCCTGATTTGCAAACGCATCTGGCTCGCGCGACGTCCTCCTGCGATGATCGAGCGTCCATTGTCACCACAAAGTGATGTCCTTGCGGACATGGATCGACGCCGCCTATAATAATTCGCGCGTATTAGAAATTTAGAAATATTTTACTAAGGACGAAGATTCAATATTAAATTGAAGAAATTAGTCATTAGGTACATGCTAGTCAAGTGTGTAATAATGCAATAAGAAGAAATAGCGGAATCTTTATCTTTATTTCAAATCGTCTTCAACCTAATATTAATTACAAATCTTTTATAAAATTGATTTGTGAAATAATTTCAAAGTAAGAAAGTTATGTTAAAGCAGAAGATATTCAGAAAAAAAGTTTTACTGAAGAATAAAAATTAAGCTAGGCAAAGATCTAAAAATAATAATCATGTTGGACCATTTAAATAATTATATTGGACGCTTAAGCTGGCTGCTAGAATATTAAAACTTTTTGCAGCATCATGTTGAGCGTCCTACATAATTATTCTGATAGTCCAACATAATTATTTTTAGACCTGTGTCTGGCGTAATTTTTGTATACTTAAAAGCTTTCTCTCTGTGTAGTGTTCCTCGTTTTCATTGCTTTAAATCTCATTATTACAACTTTATATTTTAGATACAGGTTGTATTATACGATTACGTGAAATATCTCACCTAACTGATAGCACATCCCGCTCGGTTCGTGATAGTGAGGTAATTGAGGATGGCAGCCGCACGTTCCACCCGGCAGAAACAATTCTCCCGGCTCCGAGCAGGGACCCTTGGTATAGTGTTCGTGGCAACCACCGCCGTTTTCCAGCCAATGGTACCTGCCCAGTTCACCGCTCGTCGAGCACGAACAGGTCGCTAGACCGTCTTCGCCTATGATAAGAAGCTCGCCACGTGGACACGGGCCTTTGCTGAGCTTCGGGTAGCACTTGCCGTCCTTGGGCCAGTAGATTTCGCCTTGCTCGTTGCAGGTTTCGGGATCGCGACAGACTCCCCATCGTGGCTTCGTGCTGAAAAAAATCTGTTATGAGCACGGGTATTTTCGGTCGCAAGCGAAATTAAGGGAAGAGCGTTTTTCATTACCCTGGTTTATCCGACGCCTCGGACACGGGTGCGAAGAATTGACCCTTGGAGCAGGACGCTCTCGTGAATATTGGATGGCACAATGCGTCCCTGGGCGATTGTGCGGTTCCCGGGGGACACCTACATTCCGCAATTGTTCCGCCGCTACCGGCCGCCGGGCCTAGTTCCATGGTTTCCGGACACGGAGCGCCGATCTGCCCAACATAAATGCGAATTCTCAGAGGTGAATGATTCAAACGATCCTTTTAAAGCAACCATGGTATGTCGTGGATCGGTTGCGCGTGAAAAGGTATAACTCTCGAGAGGGATGAAGGAAGATTAACACCTGCCTGAAATATTTTGTAGCATTTTCCGTCGGCCGGCCAGTACAACAGCTGCCAACCACGTGGTTGCGCGGCACAGGGGTTGCTCGAGGGATCGGCCCACGGCGGCGGCATTATCGCGGTCCTCGCGCTGACCGTTGACAGAAGGTAGACGATGCACCCTAAGAGAATCCGCATCGCGCTGAAAATTACCGAGATGACATTACTTACATGAGTCTGCAAATCGCGGATCTTTCCGCGACGAAGGAAGTTAACAGCCGCCAAGCACATGGCACAATAAGAAGAAACGGCGGAATCTCTCTATCTTTATTTCAAATCAGCACACAGTTAATTAATTTGGAAACCGTAAGACGGATTGTTGAAAGCGGACCGAGCGTGAGCGCGTATATCGTACCGCGAGCAGAGGTAGGACGATCGCGAAAGAAAAGAGGAAAATGTATGCTATGTACAAGTAATATTTACAAGAATGCAATTTATTCCGCGAGTTACGGAGAGGCGAGCGCGATTTTCCCGAAACGAAACACAGCGAGCGATAAAGACTCGACTCTAATTATTCGCGATGCGTCAAGATTCTTCTCGATAATTTGACGGTATCCCGAACACGGATAGAAAACGCAAACAGAAGATGTTACCTTTCATCTTCGACGCGGTCGAATGCAAAAGCAAATTTCACCGAGCTCGTGCCCGAGTCGCAAGTGGAGAGCGCTTCAACAGAATGTGGAAGTTCGAAACGGGAGTATCGCGATAGCGCGAAATGTCGATGCGTGTGTCGTCTCGCCGTGCGTGCGGGAAGGGGCAAAAGTGCGCGCGACAGCGAGGGCAAAATGACCATATACTTTCACTGTTTCACTATGGCAATGGCATTGTCCCTGGCAGGGCTCAGGATGACGCATCACGTGCGCGGAATAAGAATAATGCGCCACGTATAAATGCTTCCCGCGTCGCAGAAAGCAAAAGGTCTTTTCTCTTTTTTTTTCTTTTTTTCTCTCCCCGGTCTCGCTGACCGAGAATCACGCGCGAATATCCTGCGGTTTGAAGTATAACGAAGTACAACGAAACACAATTCTGTCTGATCAGAGCTGCAATCTATTCCACTTGTATTTAATCAAATTTATTTACGCCAATTTGAACGGCATTCCGAGGCCTCTGTTATCTTTGTGCAAGTCGCTGACTTGTTTACACGGTGAATTTAACGGCATATTACACGCGCTATTGACTATGGAAGAAACGCAGCATCTCTTATCTTTTTTTTTTCGTTCTTCAAAGTCGAGGAAGTAATTAAACAGCATGAGGTCTTTTCAACGTTTCAGTGCTGTCGCCTGATCGAGCTTTCTTCCGCGACTTTCCACGGCGGCCGCCGAAGCCGAGAGTTTTATTTCTTCGCCGCGGCGAAGTTTTGTTAATCACCTTTTATCACCCAGCACCTAGAATTTATCTCACGGTTGTCGTTCTAATTAACGCAACGATTCAACCGGCGTATGCCGAAATAATCCTCCTAGCGCGCTGTCGAGATGAACGCAATCCGGTGTGCGATGTCGTATCTTTAAAACTTTCCCGATAATTTGCACGACTTTTTACAAATCACATGTCGTTTGTAGAACGCAAAGTTTCGTGTCCTGGAAGCAAGATCGTGTGTTCCGCCTCTCGTAAATACGCGAATCAACGCCGCGCGGAAGGAGATATCTTTCCTTTTCCTATTCTCTAATTAACGCCGTTGAATCGCTTTAACGATCGAGCGTGAATAAATGGGCGAGATCGTTATCTATGCGTTACGCTCGCGCATCGTCCGTGAGATTCCTCTGCCTCTGATCGATGCCCGCAGGTGCGAACGCGCGCCGTTACACAATCGTCTAATTAGCGATCATTCAGTGGGAGCGAGTTACATCAGAACTTTCTCGTTTATAAGATTTCGTTCTCTGTAATAAGCGCAAAGAGCGCGAAGTAGCGAAACATTTAATCTAGTCGCGATAAGCGCGTAGCCTTTCCCTCGAGAAAACTAGTCTGCGTTGACACCCCGAACAGATATAGGATGCCGAAATTGAGATACGTGGCTGGAAATTAAAGGTATGAGCTCCCTCGATTATTTCAACGACTGCAATAATAATTAAATAAAACACCGGAGTGAAATTGAGATTGTTTTGCAGATTCGACGAAGTGGGAGGAAAATCGAGCTTTACATACTCACGAACGTAGATAGCTGATTCTCGTTTACGCAAAATACCGATCGGATTCTGAACGTGTGGGAAGCACACTTCTGTAAACAATTTGCGTTATGCAAGTAGTAATAATCACGACGAGATTTGATGCGAAATTCTTGGTACACAGGGTGCACGTGGCACCCCAGTATATTGTTCAATACGATTCTTCTCCGATAAGTTTCGATGAGAGAAGGCATGCCTGAGATTCACGAGTATCCCTCTCGATATCGAAAGCCGCTACCATTATGAATTCCTGTTATTCGATGTGTCCTTATTGCTGCCTGCCTCACGGCGATGACATTCCCTATAGGTAACTTATGTCAATAACTTATGCAACGCGGAGTATATATTGCATAACATTGTACTTTTTTTGATTACGCGTTCAGCTGTTAACGAAATTTCGTCGTACGTTGTGTGCCGCATGTGTGCGCGTGTCGGTCAATAATAATACTATAATAATAAGAATTCTACAATTCAATGAGAAATTTTTATTTTAAAGGAAACAATACATTTATAAGACAATTATTTATCTTTATGTTCCTTTTCTCTCATTACTAGATGAAATCTTTTTTTTATTCTCTTATATAATTGTCTACATTTTGCTTTTTTTTTTTTAATAAGCTCTTTCTGAATTCTAATTATGACTTGATAAAAGTTAGTTCTCTTCCGTAACTTTGATTATTCGATAAATATATGATTTTTTTAAATTGAGACATCATAGTC